GACAACGGCAGGGGCCTCCGCTGCACCGCGGAACCGTGGCCTGCGCCGGGTCTGCCTTCGCTTGTGCTGTGCAGAACCGCCTTGCAGAAATCTGCAGTAACTGCCAAGGAAAAAAAAACCACAGCTTACTTCTTCAGTCTAAGGACATTTGCTTTAAAATAAGGCCTGGTTTAATTAGGAAGAACAGTGCATTTTCTGGTCTGCTACCATACCTTGACACAACTAGTGTGGAGTAAAAAAAGCTTACCGTCAGTTAAATTAATCGGCGGGAACTAACTTGATTTAAAAATTAAAAAGAAGTTGCCCAGTCTAGACAGCACTAGTTAAACGTGCAGTCTCTCATATGCAACATGCTTGATCTCAAGCAGCTTCAGTGATTCGCAGCACAGAATTAAGGTATAGCTGTTCACTCACAAATCAAGTACGTGAAACTGTTTTGTAGCTGATCTACAAAAATCAAGGATTTTTCCGCTCTGGGTAAACAAGGCTTGCAGATTTAGCATACTTCAAAATTAATTTTCCTTTCAGTACAGAAAAGATCTACTGCAGAAACGTATAAACAACACAAGTTAGAAATACAGATATATTGGTAAATTGTTTCCAATGCAGTTCTGGACACAGAAATGATCCCTAAACCAAGAAGAAAAGCATTTTAGCCATTTTATTTAGAAAAGTTAGGACAGCTGTCTCAAGACCTTGCAGGAATTCCGTGCTGGCCCACGCAGTCAGTATTACCCTGCTTAACCAGGATCACCACTGTATCCTCCTGCGTATCTGTGTCTGTACTTAGTCATTTCCCAAGGCATGGGTTACCTCTTTTAATCTCTCTGACACTTGCAAAATTCATGTTTTTAGACAGAGTGGCAGCTACCTCATTCTCAAAGTGCAGGGCTGAAAAGCACTTAGTTGATTCTTTCAGACTAGAAATTCCTGTCATAACTCGCTAAGACCTTCTTTTGCAGATAGTTTTCACTCTCCTACCCAGTGAACTGCTATTTCACATTCTTGCATATTTTCAAGAAGACATGCCAGCAGCTGGATTGAAGAATGGGTAGAATACCTATCAGGTAGCAGAGTATCACCCCTACCCACTGCTAACCCGGCCCTGTGACTCCACCAGCAGAGTACTCCAACAGTCAGCAGACCATGAGTTTACACAGTTCTTATCTCATGGCCGTTTGGTTTCAAAGCCAAACTAAATTACCAAGTCATAACTCCACCCACCTGAACTAACTTCAAATGCTTTGGACGTTTTTCTGAGTGAATCAACATGTGTCTTTATCAGCAAGCAAAATTTATTGCATTTATCATCACTTGTAAAAGTCAAGTGTCTTAGAACAGACTACCAAGAAGAATTCAGCTAATGAGAAGTATTTCTGAAGTGAGAAGGGGGATGCCTCTGGAGATGGAGGGCAGCATGCAAAGAATATTACACCTTGAATACATTATGTACACATCCTGTTCAGGTACACTGCTCAGTTCTGTTCAAAATCAGTTCCCCGTCAATACTGGTGGAACAAGACCAGTTCCAGGGTTTTCTATCTTTTCCATGGTGGGCAGGAATTTTCCCAGAGTGCACACTAAGGTTTACAGTGAAGGACCACTGCAAGACATTTGCCATGTAGGCAGAAAAGCTAGCATGATCAAGCACAGGGGCCAGCACCGGTGATGCAGAAGCCTAGGAGATCAGGGGGACACACCACAGGACAGGTCAGAGGGCTGGCACTGGGCTCCCTACTGAACCACCCCGAGGGGCAGCAGCCTCTTGCTGGCTCCCACGCACCCCTGAGCTCAACAGCAACTGCAGCTGCTGACTTGCAGAGCAGTAAAACATCAGCAGCAAGGTAAACACCGGTATCTTCCCTCTTGGGAAGACTGTCCCCCAGCTCTTCTGACTCTTTGCTGGAATACTTAATATGACTAAGAAAGGAGAATACAGTCTCATACAGCACCACTTAAAGATCATTAACTGCTGGCTTAGAGACTACAGCAGCGTCAGAACATCTGACATACAGCCATCAAGTAACTCACTGTAATCTTAGGCAAGCCACCAAATTTATTAGGGTGAGGATTTCCCCATTTCTAAGACAACAATAATACTAACTCATTTAGCAAAAGATTTGCAACACTGACAGATGAAAACTGTTTATACATCAAGACCAAAGTATTTGCCATACCGAAGGCTGATTAGAAGTACCAACATTGTAGAGCTGCACTTTAGCCTTGTGGGCTAATATACAACAGTCTAATCTTTCCACTCAAATTTCAGAATACCAGCTGCAGATGTTGCAGTATCTAATGAGGATTTCCAGCCATCTCCCTACACTCCTTTATCTCTTATCATCCTCTAGATTGGAATCCCTGATAACCTCCCACAAGCCATCGGGCACATGAGCACAGCAAGGGTCACAGGCTCTTTACCAACCCTCCAAAGCTCATCTTCCCCCCTCCATCTCCATCTCTGCTAGAAACATCTTCCTTTGCTAGTATTACAACCACGGCACATGACCTTGCTAATATTTCTGTTTTCTGCCCTCTGACCTCACCAGTCTCACCATTCAATAGAACTGCACTTCTTACCCTCACTTTTAAGACCCCATTCCTAACCCGATGTCCAATTATAATGTTCTCATTGACTGGCATCCTTATCAACGTTTATTCTTTCTATATCAGAGTCAAATTTCTTCCCTGAAGTCTGCTGCAAGTTTGCCAACTAAGCTTGCTCATTAGAATTTATAATTTGACATGCAGCTGTACACAAAAACCTCCCTATTCCGAAAAGGTGCAAGGTACCTTTTATAGACTGAACTGGACAGGGCTGTTACCCCTTCTGATCAGTCATCAGACCCTCCAGTGGGATGTATTCCAGGCTCTAACACCATACACTGGCCATCTCATTTTGTTCCCGTTCTTCCCCCATGCAGAATGACCAGTGTCCCCCAATCAATCTTGCCATTTCTAAACTTCTGTTTTCTCTGAGGCAATGGATTTTAATCTTGTGCAGAGCAGAAGCATGCTGAACATCTTCAGGTACTACTAAGAACTGAATCATAAATACAGTTTGTGTTTGCTCGTTTCTTCTTTCACAACTCCTGTTCCCAGCATTCTTCTCCAGTCCATCATACAGAACCAGCAGTATCAACACTTCTTTATTTTTAACCATAGCAGAGCAGCTTGATGTTGTTTGAACTATGTCTGGTTTGGGGGCAGACAAACAGCCATATCTGAATTCTCACATGAACAGCCAGTCTCTGCCACAGCCAGAGGTAACACACCTACCTATAACCTGCTGACAAACAGTGCCTTGCTCCTGTAAAAAATGAGCAACTCCTGCCTTGCAGCTGCTCTGAGCACAGTTGTATCCAGCCTTCCTGCCCCATGTCTTCTACAAGCATGTGCCCCTCCTTTCTTCTCCCACCCCACACACTAGCTAAAGATATAAGCTGCACACACAGTGAAGGCCCAGCTTACTGATGGGAGATCTCTATCTTTTGCTTATTCACTTGGGCCCATGGAATCTGATTTACAAAGCATTTTTCCAGCCTTTCATTTAATTATTCTTCAAGTTCTCATTTGCCCCAGCTGGCAAAATCTAACAGAAACAGAACTGAATAGGTGAGAAAAGGAGCACCATGAAGTTTTGCCAGAAGTGCAAGCAAACAGAAGTGTCTACAGGCTAAAACGTAATTAATTTCTTACAATAAAAATCCAGTTTTAATGAAATACTTCCTTTATAAAATAATGTATGCACATTTACGATGTTCTTGTAGTAACACTTACTTGCAGTTTCTAAGAAAATGAGTATACTTAGCGCTAAAATTATATACAGCTGACAAGCTACCAGCAAGTGTGTTTCTGTACATGAGTGCAGTGGGAGGAGAGTATCATGCATGCTAGTTTGTCCTACATACATTTGTTAAAACAGGTTGTCATGGTTTAGGCCCAGCCAGCAACTAAACACCATGCAGCCACTTACTCCTCTGCCCCCCCAGTGGGATGGGAAAGTCAATCAGAAAAAGAAGTAAAACTCCTGGGTTGAGATAAGGGCAGTTTACTAACTAAAATAAAATTAAATATAATAATAATAATAGTAATGAAAAGGCATATAAAAAACGATAAATAAAACCAAAGGAGGGAAAAAGAAGCGATGCACAATGCAATTGCTCACCACCTGCTGACCAATGCCCAGACAGACCCTGAGCAGCGATTCATCCCTCCCAGCCAAGTGTCCCCAGTTTATATGCTGAGCATGATATTCTATGGTATGGAATATCTCTTTGATTAGGTTGGGCTAGCTGTCCTGGCCATGCTCCCTCCCAGCTTCTTGTATACATCCTTGCTGGCAGATCACAGAAAACTGAAAAAATCCTCTAGGATAAGCACTACTTAGCAACAACAGAAACACCGGTGTGTTAGCAGCATTATTCTCACACCAAATCCAAAACACAGCACTGTACCAGCTACTAAAAAAAAAAAAAAAAGTTATCCCAGCCGAAACCAGGACAGAAGTCCATATGAGAGATGCTTTCCCACTGTAATTACACCAACATACTAGCACCCCAAGCACAAACGTAGCTTATAGTGGTAAACTGAAGCTTCTGCCAGTGCAGCTTATTTTGGTAGCCCAGCCAGTGGGAAGCAAAACGTTGCTGGGATAAACATATCTTTACGGGAATCTTTAGATATAATGGCTATACTGGTCTGAAATCACACCTAACCTAACACAACTGGTACATTAATTTCAATACAAGCCAGTATTTCTGGTACTGTTGCAGCATTTGAAGAGGCTGAAAAAAGAACAAACTGTTTTCTGGGGTTTGGTGCCCAGACTCTGCTATCTGTTGTAAGGTGTAAAGCTGTAAAAT